ACAAACTCCATTTTCGCAACTTCCGATGACCCTTCTCCTCTCCAATTAGCCACCAGCGTAATGCTAACCGGCGCAATCACTATCTTCCTCTTCCGATCGCTTCGACGCCGAGCTAAACGCGCGAAAGAGCTGGTAAATTTTCAATTCTCCTCTCCTCGTGAAACCCTAGAGATTCTTAAGCTAGAACCAAAGGAACAATGTGTGATTTGAGCCAATCGAATTTTGATCACTTGTAAAATTGAATTTCGGAATTTGGGGAAAGGAGAAATGTGTGATTTGGTTGTGAAATTTGTAGAGATTCAGATCTTCAGGAGCAAAGAAATCGTTGAAAGAAGAAGCAATGGAGAATCTGAAAGCATTGAGATCAACTCCGATAGAAGGTGATGGTAAGTCAACTCCATCGGCGGCTCAGGCGTTTCTTGGTGCGATATCAGCAGGAGTCATTGCTCTCATTCTTTACAAGTTCACTATCACCGTTGAATCAGGACTCAATCGCCAAACCATTTCCGATAACTTCTCGGTTAGTTTCCTCTTTTCTAATCAGTCATTGCATCTTGTGCAAAGTTGCTGCTTCTGTCTCTATCTTTGGTTTGGGAGTTGGGTTTTAGCAAGTAATGGTATACCTTGCGTCACAAGTATCATAGTGGTCTCAGTATCAATAAATGCCCATAATTTGAGAGGTAAAAGTGATGGGAGAAGCTCTCTCTCCCCAATCCATGGTTTATAAATTCAATGTGCAAAGCAAAGGACCTACTCTTATCGTTCGCTTACAATTTTTTATCATTGCCTGTGTACAATAAGAGTCTGCCCATTCCATGGTTTCTAAATTCTATGTGCAACTAGCTTAATATGCATTCATTGAGTGAAGGACCTATTCTTCTCTTCACTATAAAAATCTTTGTGTGCCTCTTCTCAATCTATTGCAGGTTAGGCAAATCACGGTAACCGTAAGGTACATGCATATAAGCTTTTACCACTTTCTTTGTATTCATCTTAAGCCATTCTTTCGATTTCCTAGACCAAGTTATTTCATTTTTTTTCTGCAGGACTATCATCAACGGTATATGCTATCTCGCAACATTTGTTTTCGGTATCAACGCGATCGGACTTCTCCTATACTCCGGCCAACTAGCTTTCAATGAAGATTCTGATGAAGAAGACAGCAAGGCCACAACAGAGCCTGTAGATTCATCATCAGGTAACAACAGTGAAGTAAATAAAAGCAACGAGGATCAAAGTTCAGGTGATTAAATCCGGTCTTTGTATTTGGTACTATGAAACATGTACTAATAATATCATATTCATTAATAGCAAATTC